TCGTTGTTCGTTCACAACGAGTTGTACTACTATACATTCAGTCAATCTGTAACGATCATTTGCGCGAGCCGGACCCGATTGGTCTGACCGATCGAATTAAATTAGGGTCTCACTCGCGGGAAAGGTGAATACGTGCACGACATGTGTGTTTGGCTTTTCCGTGCTTAATCACTGTCGACTCTCGTTACAACATCGCATATTCAGTTTGGTCATGTGAACGGCATGTGCTCAAATTAGTTTGCGTTGCTTGCTAGTAGATGATGGCTTTGTTGTTAGACATTACTGTGGCCGCATATTCACTCCCACCTACCATCTCACACCATTTCTCTATGGAGGCTGCTCCAGGTGCCTACTGTTTCGCTTACTTACGTTCCGTACACACTTCAGGTCAAGCAAATCGGACTACTGACCTGATTATTCTCACACTGGCCACCTCAAACATGTAGAGAGGTCGGTTGACACTGTGCAGTTCGTTGTCTGATGAATTAAATTGCTCTGTCTATTTAGCTTTGTATATTTTTCTCGCATTAAGGAAGCTGGTGATTTGGTTTACCCCACTGATATTGATCTAGTAGGTTTCGGCAGTTGACTTGCCGTAGAAGCCTGTTAGTAGTAGTGCGTGATAATTGTTGGTCATGTTGATTGACTACCGCTCTTCAAACTTCATTTGCGAATACAATGCTCAGTTTATTTCTAGTCAACCATACACTCGGTATGCACTAAAGTCAAAATTCCCGCGTGTTAGACTTCATCGGATCGGCATATGCCCCGACCGGTCCACTATTTAAGTCCAGACCCCGTGCGAGGAAAGGGTTTGTGTGTGTGTGTGTGTTTGTGCATGTTACTGAGACTGACAGGGATTACCGATTCAAATCCGTTGTCTTCGATGACAGTCAGTCAGTTTATGTTTGCGTTTACTCTTAGGCAGTGAGTTGAGTCAACTTTTATTGAAAGCACATTCAGAGGTGAGCAATGGTTTTCAATGATTTACCTACTACCTACTAACCTGTATATCAGTCGGTCAAAAGTCACCATGATTAGATGGGAGATCGAGGTTAGGCGGGGGGGGGGGAAGGAGGAGTTGTGCAACACGTTTCAGAACTTCACATCACCAAACCTTTACAATGCTTCATCCGCAATTTGATAGCATGAAACAATTTGACTATTCTTCAGTCCTCATCCCACCCCACCCCCGCATGTTTTTCATTTCGACCCGACTCGGTGGGTATGTACTAATAGTGAGGCCCGCCGAGTACGGAACCAGACTGTAATGCTCTCAGAGAGTAGTTGCGTGAAGCTGGTGTTTGTAGGATAACCAGACAGAGTGATGAGGTTTCTCTCCGTAATTGTTCCATTCGATACAATCTTTAAGTTGTTTTTTGTGTGTCAAAGTCCTCGTCTTTATATTCTGTTCAGTGACCTTAATTACCGGTAACTTCGAATCAATTGGCGAGTCTCATTTAACTGACTTGTTCGTCTTCTTTGCATCATCTGTGCTTTTTAACCACTAACCGGAGCTGCATTGTTTGTTGATTTATCTTCTCTATCATCTATGCGAGTTTTTGGATCGAACTTCTTTGTCGGATGTCACTGCTGGAAGATAACTATGCGATGATTTATGTGTGGCATGCCCAAGGGTAACGAGAAAGCTAGTACTGGTCTTAGCTGCAAATTTTTGACTGAACGATTAAAGTTCGCGGGATTATAACGACTTACTGTCTGTGCTGGCAGTTATCATACACACTCAAACCCACAGTGTGATTTTTTTCCGAGTCCTCACTCGATAAAAACTGCCTACTGTATAAAAGGAAAACTGTTTTTGTTCATTAATTCTAATCCCAAGTGTAACCTACCGTTATTTCACATTTCATTTCACAATCAGGGATCATGGCACACGTTGGAAATGGTAATTATCGTTTTGAAAAAAGGCCAGCATAAGACGAGGAGAATCCATCATTCGCTCCCGGAACTTGGGATAATATGTTAACCATTAAAATAAAAGCAGTGCTATGGTTTGATGGACATCTTTGGAATAATCACTCTCATTTGAGCCTGTTTGTCTTTTCTGTTTTCATAACTTTCTGGGATATTTTTATCGCATCCTATCCCAACCACTTCCTCGTTTCACGTGTTCTTTGAAAATAATTCAACTCCGGTTTATTCCATCCTATTGATTACCTGAAATCTGGTTGCTACAATCCCCAGGGGGGACATTTGTCCGGCACATGTGCGAAGGTCAAGTTTCGTTATCAACAAAATAGACGCGTACCACCCCTCCCGCCTCCACACAAAAACCTCTGTCTGGTGTCCAGCACAAAATCCCTGAATGTGTGCCCACAACAGTGGGCTAGCGAGAGACACTTGGATAAAACAATCATAATGGGCGTATTTGCATGGGGCGTGGATCAGAGAGAGGGAGCAGTTTGTCCACATTGGATGAATAAACTTCCTTGACTTAATTTTGTCGTTGTAAGAAGCCGTCGGTAATTCTTGCGCGTAGCACCGGAAGGCGATGCCTAGTGAAAAGACCTCGTTGGATCGTCGTACAAACATAACACATCCTGGGATAAATAGATAGATGATACAGACTACTGGGAAAATACATTGATAAATAACATGCCATCACATTAATTTTTTCATGGCTCTAATTTTCGGAAGATTAGGTGACGACCCGATAAACAATTTTGTCAATGTGATTGGTCTTTGTGTGTGGTAAAAGCTCTGAGAGGACCGTTATAAGTACTGCTTCGATGAATTCAATAAAACACACGCATGAGTGGCATCAATAAAATGCATTTTATTTATTTGCAAGCTTTAGTTTGGAGTCTAGATTCGGTTTAGAACCGAATATAGTCCATTTTGTTTCAAAGTTGATTAAAATGGAACCGATGAGTTACAGTTGGTCACTTTGTTTGGTTACCTCTTACTTTCACAACGCAACAGTGAATCTTGCTGCAGTACTATTTCTATTCGTTTAATTTTACCAATAATCGCTTTTTCTTTTCTGATTTTTGGCTTTAACTGCTCAGGCCTTCATTATCCTTCCCCTGTGACAAATCGACGCAAACCTGTCAATGGCTTCCCCAGTCTCCTCAATGATCTTACCCCCTCCAATAATCAATCAGGAAAACGTAAGAATGGAATCGTGTCCCCCCGGGAGAAACCGATTCGGGATCGGAGACCCACACCCCCTCTCAATACCAGTCCAACTTATCTGCACCCACCCAAAGATCAACACCTTCCCCGCTTATCAGATGAGGACGAGGATGCCGAAGTGGCCGAACATTTGGCCGCCGGTACCGAACAGAACGGACATTCTCTAACCAATGGGATCAATCCCGGTCGAACTAACGGGGATTGGGTAGAGATACATCGACCCGACAGTCATTCACCGGATCTGGAAACACGGGGACTGATCGTGCCCAATGGAACTGATGCGCAACCCGTAAGTGAATATTTCCACACCTTTGGCAAAAATTGAAACTACATTGCCATGATAATCGAATGTTGAAAGTGAGCAATTGCATTGAATTTTCGTGATGTGCATAGCAGGTCATGTTTTTGGGATGCTTCTGGTGCATTTTGTGGGTTTTTAATATTTCATTGCTCTGGTCATTTCACATTAGTTCGTGGGCAAGAATTTGGCACTATACAACACCAATGTGGTATCATGGTAACCCAGTGCCTTATCCAAGGCTTTACTCTGATTGGCCAATACCTATTGGCACTTTTCCCGTCTGTTGCTGTTACTGTTTTCAACTCGACGATTGCTTCATATCGCAATAGCTCTCGTGTTTAAGTGTTAAACTTTTCCTCCACTATAAATCGGTTTCACTTTCCCCATAACTATTGGATTCAGCGATATGGTTTCTGGCTAGCAGTAAAGTGATAGGAAGTCAACTGCCACCCGAACTGGTAGGACTCAATATGAATGAGAACATTCCTTAGAGAATAAAGAAGCGGTAATACTGGAACCTCATCGGTTGCAATATTTGAGTCCCGGCCACAAATCACAGGTCGGTCCGACTATAGACCGATGCAACTCAATCTGGCTGTCATGCTCTTAAACTGCATCTCAGACTTACCTCTTTGAACCCGTTTCTGTCCAGTGATTATCTCAACAAGTATTTCCTGTTCCTAATATCTACCTGAAGAATCTGAGAATGATGGCACTTATGGCAAAAAGCCATATGATGAATTCGAACAGACGAGTCACAATATAAACATTGCAAAGGAATTACTTTCGTATACATCCATGGGTTGCGTACGTTTAACACTAAACAATATTAGCATACATGGCATGAATTAAGAAATCTAAATGAGTTTTATGTGTATATCTGGTTGGATAGGATTGGTTACAGTCAGCTTAGGTCAAGAGTTGAGGTCGTATGCTTTTGCACACACAGGGTGCGTCTCTTGTGATACGGTCGATA